CCACAATCTTTGCCCGATTTTGGCAGTTAATCGAGACATCATGCAGTCTAAAACGGCATGTACATTAGAACTTTTTACCGGGTTAACCTACTTTATGAGGATTTATTTGACATATATGCAAAGGAATTGACAATTGAAACCCAGTGGGTTAACGAAATCCGGTTAAATGTAAACGTACTATAACTCTCTTTAAACGGCATTTATATTAGAACTTTTTACCGGGTTAACCTACCTTATGAGGATTTATTTGATATATATACAATACAATTAACAAAATCCGTTATAATGTAACCTACTACAATTTTTACAAAAAAAAGTCAAAAATTAAAAAGATATTATCGTAATCTCACTTCCGACACCAATTGTTACGTTCTTGGACTTCACTTATTCCCGTGTAGACGTTGTTTTATTTCCCGATACAGTTCGTACCAAATAAAACGCGGGTTCGTTCTGATTACGATTATTACAATGATTTTATTCACACAACTTTACTTTGCACTTTACTTTACACGACGGTTTCAATTCGCGATCTGATTCACAACTGACTAACTGCCTTTCCACTTCCTCTATTTATATGAGCCTTGCCTGTCGCTACAGAAGTTTCTAGACGATCTGGTAACGTCTAGATTACGAACAATCTACCAATGCAACAAACACATACAAACTTACATTGAGTGAACAATAACAACAACACATACAAACTTACATTGAGTAAACAATAACAACAACACATACAAACTTACATTGAGTGACAATAACAACAACACATACAAACTTACATTGAGTAAACAATAACAACAACACACATACAGGCGAGGGGGTAACAAAGAAAGAGGAATTAAGCGATCATCAATGATGACGTTTAACAAGAATTGTACGACAATAACAAAATAGAAAATGGAAGAGGAAATGGAAGGATGTAGAAAAATCTATACAGTAGTTGTTGTTGTGAAGTTATTCGAATAAACTGCGTAGTAGAAATTTACGTTACAATTCAAATTCTTAAATTAACGGAATTCATCTAAAGTAACTTAAATCTAAATTTATATTAGTAACAATATTTACACAATAATAAATAAGCAAATTTTTAACTGGAAAGCAACAAATAAAATGACATTGGAAATCCTATGCATGCTGAACCAAATATTGCCAAGGAATGTATAAAGATAATAAGGAGTATTTAAGTCGAGTTTGATGCATTTTGGAGGCGAAATACAGACATTTTGGTTGAGAAAAAAAGAAAAAAATTGAAAAATTATGGAAAAATTAAATTTGCTGATGAGCCACTTAACAGTGAAAAACTTAAATAAAAATTATGAAAGAACAAAAATAAAGCTACAAAAAAAAAATATTTTTTTTTTCAAAATTATCGCGTACATGATTTGAAAGAAGAAATAAAGGAGTAGGGGCAAATCATAACATAACTGGCCACTTTAAGAATTTGGGGAGCTAAATATCGAAATTAAATAAAAAGGCACACAATTATGTAGTGAAATAATAAACTGTGACTTAATTAATTCAATCGCAGATTTCTTCCTATGTTCTTTTAATTGTAATCCATTGTAGTTGTTGCACCAAATTGCATCAAAACAATGAACAGCTCTTTCACATGCCATATTGTAGGTTGCCATATTTTCGAACTTCAATTTATTTTCGTTTAATTACAAAGCATTTATACAGCGGATTCTTGATATTTCACATTTGTATTGCGAATTTTTTTTACATGCGAGATATCTCCCTAGCAAATATCCTGAATAAGGCTGAATATTCTAAATCGTCATAGAATAAGTATTGTGTAAATATTTTTCATAAAAATAGTTATTACTTATGTTTTTGTAGTCAATTCCCTTTAAATTTATTAGCGAAAAATTTCATCTCATTCTCCTACTCCCTGTAATTCAGAATACCTAATTTTTCCCCAAAGCGGCTTTTTTCGCTTTCGAACTTCGTTCAGAATAAGGCGAAAGCGAGAATGCTCAGAATAAGCCGATAAACCTTGGTATTGCGAAACAAGCTGTTCAAAATTCGCAGATTTTAATTTACAATTTTGTTTTTTAATTTTTTGGTTCACATAACATCATTTTTGAAATTTATTTGTACCAACAGTTGGGCCGATGCGGTTACTTTATTAAAAATACGTTGGTTTCACCCGAACTGTCAAAATTCTTTCAATTTTGAGCAAACCAAAACTTTTCTGTAGCCAACTTCAGCTTTTTGCAACGAATAACGAAACAATACAGAATTGCGGAGAACAAGTATATCTGTACCCCCTTTTATTCCTCTCAAATCCTTAGTCCATAAATTGAATTTACTTTACCACAAACCATGACACAATAAATAGGTAGTCCGTTTCGTTCGTTTACTCAATAATTTGTACGAATTTGTACAAATTATTACAAAATGTTGTTCGTTTACCCAAAAGTCCAGTAAAAGAGAGTGAATTGAGAGAACAGATTTGACAGTTGTGTTACTGAGTATTTGCAAATTCTTACAAGGAAAATTTACTCAGTAAGAATTTTCTTGTACCATCAGCTAATATTTAATCAGCTGTTTTGTTATGTTTTGTTAACAAAGAAAAAATTTTTCTTAAGAAAATTGATTGTTTTGTGAATTTTATTTTGATTTTGTATCATTAAATACCAAAATGGATGAAGAAAACGCAAGTATTTAAATAAAAAAAATAAGGTAATACAATAGTAATTGGCGAACGATTTTTTAGGTTCCAAATCCAAACAAAAAGTGTGCATCCCTAACATGTCTGGAATATGTCTGTAAAAATCAATCAACATCAATATTTTTCCAAATAAATAGTTAAAACTTACCGGTCACAACCCTTTTAAATGTTTGTGGGGAACAAACAACATCAATTTTCCGCTTGTTATCCATTTTTCAATAAAAATGCTGTTTTTTAATTTGCGCCAATTTGTTTGTTGTTTTAATCAGCTGTGTCGAAACAATCTTTTTACTGGATGTTGTTCGTTTACTTTTTGCAGTTTTCTCTCTTGAGAAGGAAAAATTCGTATTTACTCTCTGCAAATTCTTACTGAGTAAATATTACTGGGAAAGTAAACGAACGAACCTTTTATTTGAATTCGATGTGCGAGTTGCCAATTTGACAGATGGTGGAGACAAAAACAAAGGTTTTTGTTTTGATACATCACCTTATTATTGTATCATGACCACAATCTTTGCCCGATTTTGGCAGTTAATCGAGACATCATGCAGTCTAAAACGGCATGTACATTAGAACTTTTTACCGGGTTAACCTACTTTATGAGGATTTATTTGACATATATGCAAAGGAATTGACAATTGAAACCCAGTGGGTTAACGAAATCCGGTTAAATGTAAACGTACTATAACTCTCTTTAAACGGCATTTATATTAGAACTTTTTACCGGGTTAACCTACCTTATGAGGATTTATTTGATATATATACAATACAATTAACAAAATCCGTTATAATGTAACCTACTACAATTTTTACAAAAAAAAGTCAAAAATTAAAAAGGCACAACAAGGAACATAAAATAGATATTCAAACACTTTTGTACTTTATGTTAATCAAGAAATTATGCCATGCATATGGTTTCCAATGGCATAAGTATGTCATGGCCCAATAATAAGTTCGTCCGAAAGGCCAGAAAATTTCAACCGAGTTATCAAAATGCTTTAACTTTTGACTTACAGCCTGTTTTTTGTAAAAATCCAAACGAACAAATTCGAGTGATTTACGACCAAACCTTTATTTATGTTTATAAATGTTTTCTGATTCAAAACAAAATTAAATGATATATTTTTCAAAACCAAGGATTTTGGTCGTAAGTCACTCGAATTCGTTCGTTTGGAATTTTACAAAAACAGACTGTTAATCGTATAAAAGCGTAAACATAAAATTGACAGTATGGGGCATAATATTGGCCGCTTATTTTAATGGACCTTGACATTTGTCAAATATTATTCTTTTTCTTTCCGAGAATATGTCAGATACTAATGGAACAGAAAAACAACGTAGACGAATCCAAATTAGTTTGAATTTACACATAAAAAGGTAAATACAACTTAACAAAACCCTGGGAAGAAAAGTCGCACAAAAGTTAAAAAGTTGCCATCATAGTAACAAGACATCAAAAAAGATGCAAACGACTTTTACGGCAACCCTGCTTTATACAACTTAACAAAACCCTGGGAAGAAAAGTCGCACAAAAGTTAAAAAGTTGCCATCATAGTAACAAGACATCAAAAAAGATGCAAATTGCGACTTTAGTCGCACAACGGCAACCCTGCTTTATACATTTGTGATCAAGGTATATTTAATAAGGTAGCCGCATCGGGCCAGCTGTTGGACAAATAAATGTCAAAAATGTTGTTGTAATGTTGAACCAAAAAATTAAAAAAACAAAATTATAAATGAAAATCTCCGTATTTCTAATAGCTTTTTTGGCAATACTTTTATTAACAGTTTCTACAAGAATTTGTGTAAAAAAAATCTTGCCAATCTGTTTGTTTTGGCAAAATATTTTTGACATATCAAAATACAACAACCGATGTTTGTTGTAGAAATTCGCCGATGGGGCTACCTTGTATATCTACCTTGTTTGTGATGTTGCCATAAAAAGAAAACAACCCATATCGTCATTTTTCAATTTTTGCCCAAAAACATCGCCAAAATGACAACAAATCGTCTAATCTGGCAGCCGTGCACACATATCGTATCGAGAACAAAACAATCAATGCAAAAAGAAGATGCTAACGCGTATTTAAACGAACAAAGCCAGTCAGCGGACAACAAACAGCTAAAGTGCATAAAATTCGGAAACAAAGGCAAGAAGTGCAATCGCCAGATACTAAGTACGTCGGATATTAGTGAAAAAATACTGAAAAGAAAAACAACAAAATGGCTCAATACGAAGACCAAACTGGAAGTTTAGTTAGTCGCTCAACTAACACTGAAGATTTTCCCGATGCTTTCGGGTCGTTGGGCACAAACTCCCCGAATAGCTACTACAGTGGTGGCTACAACAATGCGGGAAATCAACATCAGATGCAGCAAGGTGCTATAGCCCAATTGGCGAACAAAGGTTTCGGCGGCACATCTACAACAAATTATACTGCGAGGATGCCTACTGACCGCCATGCTGTAGAGTACAACATGCGTCATAAGAATCGGGGACTGGCCCTAATTTTCAATCACGAGCATTTTACTGTGCAAACACTGAAATCGAGATCGGGCACAAATGTTGATTGTGAAAATCTGGCCAGGTGTCTCAAACAACTTGACTTTGATGTGCAAATTTATAAAGATTTAACACTGAAGGAACTTATACGTCATGTTGAGTGGGCAGCAAGCCAAGATCATACTAACAACGATTGTATATTGGTGACGATTCTTTCACACGGCGAATTAGGCTACATTTACGCCAAGGACACTCAATATAAACTGGACAGTATATGGAGTTATTTCACAGCTCAACACTGTCCTACATTGGCGGGGAAGCCTAAACTATTCTTTATACAGGCTTGCCAAGGTGATCGTCTGGATCCTGGAGTAACAATGAAACGTGCAGTGACTCAAACTGACGGTGAGTCATCGATGAGTTATAAAATACCAGTACATGCCGATTTTCTTATCGCATACTCAACTATACCTGGTTTTTATTCGTGGCGTAATACAACCCGAGGATCTTGGTTTATGCAGTCATTGTGTGCTGAACTCACAGCGAATGGAAAACGGTACGATATACTGACTTTACTTACGTTTGTTTGCCAACGCGTTGCCGTCGATTTTGAGTCCTGTACTCCTGATACACCAGATATGCACCAACAGAAGCAAATACCGTGTATAACAACAATGCTTACACGAATACTACGATTCTCCGAAAAGAATCCAGCAGTACCAGCTGCCAGAGTTTAAAAGGAAAAGGAATGCGTACCAAAATTTGAAGTACAGTTTCGTGCTGTTAAATGTGATAGTGATAGTATGGAAAAACATTTTCGGAACTGTGAACCCCAAAAACAATGGAATCGTCACTCTTATTAGGGTTGGCGCTGTCGTTACAACACAATATAACATTTGTTTTATTTATTAAATTTTGAAAATTTTTACACTATTGTCAAAAGAATCCTTCACGACGTTATCACATTGTATTATATCGAATTGTAACGTCATTCATAATACCGATTTCTCGTATAAATGCGACAATACACTATTTTCGACACGACAACGCCGATCGTAATAATGGTGCATAACTATATGTATTTCTAAACGTAACAAAAATATTTTTTGCATTTATATTCAGAACAAAAAGTCCATTTGATTATCAATTGAAAATATTTAAGAATTATCAAAGAATTAAACTTTACATTCCAATGGTAAACACGCAAAAACTAACTATGTTTCAAAGTTACAATTTGGTTTCTAACAATAACGTTACTGAAACAAGATACAATAAATCTGACCTCATAAACTATAGAACACTTCTATTGGAATTTTAAATATTGTTACGTTCTGAAAGTCAACTACGTTATAAAATACACTTCTCATTTGTTATTGATATATCCAGTATAAATTTAATATTTTGATAACAGATTATAATTATACTTATATCCAACAAGTCTAATAATTAATATATTGAATATCTTTTATATACATTTTGCCAAAATTTGAGAATATAATAGCACGAATACATATTTATTTTGATACTTGTAATTGATATTTGTATACAACATAAATTTTTTAATAAAAAAAACAAAACTGAACAATAGCATGCTTTTTTGTAAATCATTGTGTAATTCCTTATTTAAAGGTTGACATTTCCTTAAATGCCTACTGCTGACATTGCATCAAACATTAAATATGGCATTGTTTAAAATTGTCTATGAACAACATATCCATACATGGTTTTTTTTTTTTAATTATGTAACTATTAATTAGTCATATAGCCACACTACATATAGCTACGAATTTGTTGTGTGATAAAAATTTAACTTTTATTACCTTTTTTATGTTGTAAAAAAATCAAAAATTCTAAGAAGCTGTGTCATTATCATGGTCGAACAGTACAAGGTAACCGCAATACTCAGCTATCAATAAAATACAAATTACAAATTAGTTGTAAATGAATAAAAATTTCTGAATGGAAGGGATATTATCAGCCTTATTCTGGACATCAATTCACCGCGAATTTGTTCGCTCTTCCCTCTAATGTTATTCTGAACCAGAACTCTCAGTGAATTTTTTCGCATTTTTTCTTTCCTCTTATTTTTAATGAAGTTCGAAAGTGAAAAAAAAATCAGCTTTGGGGAAAAATTAGTTATTCTGGATTACAGGGAGTGGGAGAATGTGATGACATTTTGTGCGAAATTTTTCGTTAATAAATTTAAAGGGAGCTGACTACAATAATGTAAGTATTAAATATTTTTATGAAAAAATATATACCCAATACTTAGTTGATTACGATTTTGAATATTTTTGCGTACGTCCCTGGTTGTATGCATATTTGTAACTCCTATTCCTATTGATAACGATGCATGTTCAACCAAATATTGCCACGGAATGTATAAAGGCAATAAGGAATATTTAAGCCGAGTTTGATGCAATTTGGATCCAGAATAAAGACATTTTGGGTGAGGATTTGTCTTTCCAGAAAAAAATATTAAAAATTATGGAAAAACCACATAGCCAAATTTTTCTGATGAGCCGCTCACAGTGAAAAACTCAAATAAAAATTATTAAAGAACAATAATAAAGCTAAAAAATATGTTTTCTCTCAAATTTTTAGTGTGCATGTTTTGAATGACGAAGTAAAGGAGGAGGAGTATATCATAAAATAATTTACTACTTTAAGAATTTGGGAAGATAAAAAATGGATTAAGTTCGAAGATGGAACCCATTGGTCCGCTCCTTCTGGCGGGTGACCCCGTCCGACTTTACTGATACGCACACTGGTTTAATGATAACCAATTGTGTTTGTTGTAGTTCCGCAGTTACCTTGTATAATTGCATCATGCGTCTTTTGTGTCAAAGAAATTATAAAAAATAGGCCAATAATGCAGACGAATTTTATTATTTGATCAAACTTTACTTTTTGAAAAATATTAAAGTGATTTTTTTCGAAAAGGATGGTGCGTATTATTATGCCTCACAATAGTTTATTCATATTCAAATGTCAGTCCGGTGCCGCTGCAATTCTTTAATATCCAATTATCAAATTTTTTAGACATTTCCTCTGATATGTAATTTTTCCAATCACCAATCTGGCCCTTACGAATAAATTTGATTTCACAATTTTTTGATTCATCTCCACCTCTTCGATTGCCATTTGTATCGAAGCGATTTAATATTGGATCCAAATTAACTGCTGGATTTGATTGCATTTTATCAAATTTAAGATGATCACAAATTCTCTTCATATCTTCCTCTGTTAGTTGATAGTCAACATTTAAGAATGTTGCGCATTTTTTAATTGTTGCCGACAAATCTCGTTTCATGTCCTCATATTTCAGAAATAGAACATTGGGGTGATTCCTTCGCTCCCAAAAGGGCAAAACATGTTTCCAATATGAGCCAATTGGTGTTAGTTCATCGATAAATAACTGCAAAAAATCGTTAAATGTGCCCTGTATCCCATGCATTAGTTTGCAATAGTGATAAAATGACACACAAAGATCTTTAGGGTTTCTCGATGTATATATAATCTGAAATATGTACAAATATGTTTCAATTTACTTATTAACAGTTATACAATCAGTGAAAATTACCTTGGCATTAGATATTTCCAAATCCTGTGGCAACAAATGCCACGGCAAGTGGGAACGTGCAAACCTGGGCCTCTGAAGGTTTCGCACAGTCTCGACAGTGTTTCCAAGAGTATCGCTGTCCGTTGTATGTGAATGGAAACATGAAACATTAAACAGTTATATGCAGACATATAAATCGCTATTCTGTCTATGTTCCTTATATGTATATATTCTCACTAGTTTTAATTATTTTGTACTTTTTTTTTTTTTGCTTACGAATCCCCAATCATTAAGATTTCATCTAATCTTATATAAACACTCATCAGAATATGATACTGGAACACGTATTGGTTTCATTATTTTTGTGGCAACAATTTTCTAAATTTCCATAGGAATAGCTTTCCATTATGTCAAAAATACAAATTTTCAACAACGCCATTTGTGGTTAGGCAACTATTTGGAAGCATACTTTTTGAAGAAGTTATTATTTTTTTTTGGTCCAAAGGAGAGTTGTATTTTAAATTATATAAAATTTAGAATAGGATTTCGAGCAAATCGAGATATTGTGTGGATTTAATTTTGTATGGTAAACTAAATTGAACATTGCTCTCAAGATTTAACCATTGTATTTATAAGTTTAGAGGGAGGGAACTTCAAAATATCTATAAATTTAAATGATTTAGCAATTTATGCCACTGAACACATTAAAAGGCGTGCATTTCGAGCATTCGTTGTGATTCGTGAGCGAATGTCAAAAATAATTTCAATTACCAACACAATGAACGATCGCTGTTGGGTGCTCTCACTCGTATGTTATGAGTGTGTGAACATTCTTTTGGCGAATGTTTGTTTGGTGAAGAATTTATCGCCATAAATGCATTCGCAAAATGTTCCTTGTGTGGCATTTTACGGAAATTTTTAATATAACTGAAAGGTTTATTCATAAGGTTAACCGGCAGGTGATACGTTTTTTTTTTATTTTTTTGAAAGATATTCTGAGTTTTTATCCTGTTCTGGTTGGTGTGCAAGAGAAGACTAAGGCATGAATTCGCCTTCTTCCTGCGCCATTACAACGAAAAAAATCAGCCTTATTCTGGATATTCGCAAGGGAGTGATTTCACAAGCTTTCGTTGGCTCCCCTTAGTCTGCAGTAACATTGAAGAACCAAAAACGGGAGCTGTAGTTCTTATTTAAGCTATAATGTGTGTTGCCCAATTTTAATCCAATTTTATGTTTACATTTTATTTATTTTCTAACAATAGAAATTTTAAATGAAGAGAATCCAAGTTTAACAACGTTACCTAAAATCCAACGAAGCGTAAAAAATATTCAACTTCCCCACTATGGCGAAATGTTTTGTCCGACCGTATTACCCAAATACGTCGACTCCATATCCCTTACAAAAATATTTTAAATTCCTTGAAGCTGAGGCTTGCAATCTTATAGCTCGCGAAATATGAACATATTATATTATAAAAGGATGCTGACATTTTGAAGCCGGATATTCGGTGTTTTTTGAATTTTTTCTTACAATCAGGACGCGTCATATAATTGGCTAAACTGTTTATAGGATTGTAGAACTCGTAATTTTGCTTCGTTTAGTGTATATCTAATGAATATGCTCAGCGTAGTTTATTTGCTATTGGATTCCCAAGACGAAAATTTGGTGCGTAAATTTTTTCAAAAAAAGTCCATTCATTCCGCCTACGGGGAGCAGAGCTGAATGCTAACGGACGCGTCCACAGGTTGCGGATAGTGGGAAGCCCAACGCCATTCGTTAGGCAACTGTGAATAACCAATAAACAGTCGCGGACAATCAGCGGGCTGAGGGGGAGAGAAAAAAAAAACAAAAACAACGCATGCGATTTTTCGACTGATGCTGGTGTGGCTGCCTTGGTAAAGACCCTATGCCATGTCTCAAACCCCCCTCACACACAGACTTGATTCTTTTAATAACCCCCCCCCCAAAAAAAAAACAAAAAAAAAACAAAAACAAGGTCAGATATCAAGGTCAGATATCAATGAATCCCCCCAAGTGTTGACGACCCAAGCAATCCCCCTGGACCTCTCTTTAGCCAATTGTCCTTCTCTCGACGACGTTAATACAAGCCTGGAGAGGCAGTCGGATCTTCTCCTCAATCTTCTAGAGGAAACCGGCTCCTTCCGCCTTAGCCAGGAGAGCATCCCGAATCAGCTCTGGGACGACTCGCCCTTGTCGGACGAGGATGACATTATGGACTCCCATCGTTAAGATGGATGACTCATCAGTACCATTATCTGCTAGACAATCCGACGCTAAGGAGATCGCTGCCAAGAAAATGTATCGGGGAGCAGTAAATTACTGTAAACGATACATTGGGCGGGACAGCGACTCCATCACGGGGAAGGAGTTCCTGTTAATCAAGAGGAACCTCAAACTCATTAGGATTATGGTGATATTTTTCATATTTTTAGCCAGCTCCCTTTTAGCCCCAAATTTTTAACCAATCTTAGAACAAATTTCTGTTCACAGTTTGAATACGAATCGATTCAAATAATTTGGAATGTATACACAAATTAGTACTGTACACAAATTTACCCTCTTCTCTATATGGAATGGCTCATAAATTTATCAAAATTTTGAATTTTTTGATTTTTCTTTTGATATGAGTAGTCAATAACCAGGTCTTGACATATGTGGTCTGTTCCCGTACTGCAAGAATCTACTAGATTTTACTATTTTCTTCGATATCATAAAGGAAAATTCGTTATCGTAGTAAATAATAGTAGATTCTTGATGTAGGAGAACAGACCAATGTAAAACATTTTGTTGCCCGTGGGCCACAAAGGGTTAATTTATTGGCGAAAAAATTCACACAAAATGTAATCACATTCTCCCTTTCAAACTTCATTCAAAATAAGGGGAAAGCGAAAATATTCGCTGCGAGTTGTTGTACAGAAGAACTTTAATGGGAAGAGCGAATAAATTCACGGGGAATTGATGTCCTAAATAAGGCTGATTAAAATTTACAATGACACTGCGAAAAAATGTTCACTCATCTACATTTGGTCGACAAAAGCTAAAGTTTTTGACGCTGTTTGAAAACAAGGTTGCCGTAAAAAATAGTTACGGGTCGGAAAAGGTGCCCCTCTCCCCTATATATATATATATATATATATATGCTGACATAACGGTTGTTTTCTAACAGTGAAGTATACAGCTTCCACAAAAATGACGTTTTAAGAATAATAGCTTCATCGATTTATACTTACGAAACCCATTCGTGGTGATCAACGCTGAATAGAGCAGACAGCTCGACTATTGGTGACCGTATCTGCTGCATCTGCTTAGCCCCTTCGAAATCTAAGTGGTTACCAAGCAACCATATCATTTCTTGGGCCCAGGTTGAACCAGTTCTAGGATACGAAACTAACCAAACGTCATCCGAATATGTTTTCAGATGTCTAATTGATTCGCCAATTTCCCTAAATTTCCTCGGAACTATAACATTCCCTGGCAATACCTCGATGAAACAGTTTTTATCGATGTAAAACGCATCGACGCGCTTGGCAATTTCTGCTTCCAATTCTTTGAATATTAACGACATTTTTTCAAATCTATTTAATCGAGTTTATTTTTCCGCTTTTTAAGAAGAGATGCTTTAGAATAAGCAACCGTTTATGTCAACGATATTCGGAAAACTGCAACATAAACCTTGGCTATTGTTGCACATTTCGCATGGAGCTAAGTGGAGCGCTTTCATATTCAGGCAGTGACGCCAGTGAAAGTTTGAATATCAAGTTGTTGTTAAAAGCATTTTCAGTTTTCCGCATTTACAACTGAACAAAACTGGAATTTGTTTTTCACTGGCACTAAGCTCAACAGGTTTCTATTTTGCAAACATTGGACATCGCTATGATCCTATTGTAAATAGTTAAAAATAAATTCATACATTTTGTGCTATTGAATATATATATATATATTTCCACAATTCATCATTTGCTTGTAATTTCCTTTGTAATGTAACATAAGTTAACAATGCAGATTAATCGTTTGGCTATGCATTGTCTTATCTGTAGTACATTCCACAAAAAGTTTTCGCATAGATTTACTGCTACTGCTATAATGCAACAACATGCTAAAAAATATTATTTCGGATATCACATACAAAATTGGGTAGGAAATGGTCCAACCGAAAGTGATCAATATTGGCATATATTTAGTTGCCGCCCATTGCAATTTAATAATTCTGGTGTCCAATGATTTACAAAATCCCGACAGTTTTTCATTATATCGGAAATTAAAATTAAATTTCCTCAAGATATCTTACTTTATATTTTTGTACGATGGATATACTGGCAAATGCCAGTATATAAAGTAGGATATCTTGAGATGTATAACAGAACAAAAAAAGAAACAACGCCACAGCTTGTTGTGTCTATTTAATATATTTTCAACACATAACTAATAATAGTTCCATTCCAGCGTGACCTAGTGGCACAACGGTCACGCTGGAACGGAACGGAAGTATCAATTTTGATACTTTTTTCGGCCATGCCACTCTTGTGCCACTTTTTTATTTTGATACCAAATGTGCCACTTTTTGAAATTTTCTGCAACTTCTTCATGTGGACCATTTTTCAATTGGTTTTATTGAAATTGTCTATTAGAATTTGTACATCCTGTGGTACAGGGAATTGTTATTCCGCATTTGATGACATACGAAAGTATTTTTGTAACAAAGACTATTCATGGGATACCGACTTGGGATGAGAATAAATTGGATTTTGCTAAAATCGTCATATATATTGAAATATTTGAAAAAAAAAACTTAGCTTTTGTCAGATTTTAAAATTTGCAAGTACCGTCCATATATAATTTCATCAGATTCCATGTTAATATGTAGCAAAATAGTGTGCCACTTTTTGTGCTACCTTTTCAAAAGATTTGTGCCACTTTTTTCAAAAATTATATCTGTGATACTTTTTGAAAAATGTCAGCGGTCACGCTGTCCCGTTCCAGAACCTAAAAGAATCTACTAATTTTACAAGTTTTGCAACTTTTTACTCGAAAACCGTTCCTAAACACACAAAAGTGGTAAAACATTGAATCAAATTTAAGAGTTGCCGCCCATTGCAATTTAATAATTCTGGTGTCCAATGATTTACAAAATCCCGACAGTTTTTCATTATATCGGAAATTAAAATTAAATTTCCTCAAGATATCTTACTTTATATTTTTGTACGATGGATATACTGGCAAATGCCAGTATATAAAGTAGGATATCTTGAGATGTATAACAGAACAAAAAAAGAAACAACGCCACAGCTTGTTGTGTCTATTTAATATATTTTCAACACATAACTAATAATAGTTCCATTCCAGCGTGACCTAGTGGCACAACGGTCACGCTGGAACGGAACGGAAGTATCAATTTTGATACTTTTTTCGGCCATGCCACTCTTGTGCCACTTTTTTATTTTGATACCAAATGTGCCACTTTTTGAAATTTTCTGCAACTTCTTCATGTGGACCATTTTTCAATTGGTTTTATTGAAATTGTCTATTAGAATTTGTACATCCTGTGGTACAGGGAATTGTTATTGCGCATTTGATGACATACGAAAGTATTTTTGTAACAAAGACTATTCATGGGATACCGACTTGGGATGAGAATAAATTGGATTTTGCTAAAATCGTCATATATATTGAAATATTTGAAAAAAAAAAACTTAGCTTTTGTCAGATTTTAAAATTTGCAAGTACCGTCCATATATAATTTCATCAGATTCCATGTTAATATGTAGCAAAATAGTGTGCCACTTTTTGTGCTACCTTTTCAAAAGATTTGTGCCACTTTTTTCAAAAATTATACTTTCTGTGATACTTTTTGAAAAATGTCAGCGGTCACGCTGTCCCGTTCCAGAACCTAAAAGAATCTACTAATTTTACAAGTTTTGCAACTTTTTACTCGAAAACCGTTCCTAAACACACAAAAGTGGTAAAACATTGAATCAAATTTAAGAGATCACACAACAAAATGGCGTTCTCTTTGTAAACTATTTACTCGAAAAATTTGGGCTGTTGTTTTGATTTTTAAGTAAAGACATCTAATTTTGAAATATTTACTGAATTTCCGTTCCCGAACTTTTCCAATTTTTTTGTACTCTGAGAGAGATTTTGGCATTATTCCCTTTTACTAGATTTACTATTAAAAAAGAACTGGAACAAGGTAGGGAAAGATATTTGAAATTTGGTGGGTAACTTCAATTATTACAAATTGAATGATGGACAAACACATTTTTTGTAAATTAGTACTAAAATGTACTAAAAAGTTGTAAATATTATATTGCAACATAACCGATAGAAATAAAAATGTGAAACTTCGCATATAGATTCAACTATTACAAATATAATGCTATGCGTAATTTTTTTGAAATTAGTACTAACATGTACTAAATAATGTAGTATAATAGAACCGGAAGAATAAGAAATCTGAGATGTGGTACGTAGATTTATCTTACAAATACTATGCTATACAGTAATATATTTTTGAAATTAGTACTAAAATGGTACAAATGGTACAAAATACGCCAAAAATTTAGTAAATTATACTCACGGTACTAACAAGTACTAAATATTGTGTACGGATAAATATAGCAACCTGCTATTAAATGCTTATTCGAATTGTTTATATCTATGAAAATAAACAATTATACATAAATATTTTCCAGAAATAAGTTCTAAAATGTACTAAAAAGTACAAGACATTGTATACGGCGGTACGGGTGGCTTTTTTATGAAAAACAATGCTTTTCGCAATTTTGTTTGACATTTGTACTTAACGTATAAATATTGTATACGACAGAACGAGTCCTGAAATGTTGAATGTATATTTAGTTAGGTAGCGGATACAATATTATGTTTATTATAATCATATTGAATTTCTTTATTTTATATTTAAATGAGATGGCTTTATTCCATTATTTAACTCAAACTTATTTCTGATGGAATTTCTCATATAACATTATTTTATAATGAGTATTTTAATTTATATTATTGAGACTGATCACATTTTGCATTGAGTGATAATTATCTCTTGCGCTCTCGCATAACGCTTTATTGTAATGATAATATCTCTACTCTCTTTTGTACCGTTTGAGTGATTGTTTTTATTCTACGTGTATGTGATATTTTTTGTGATTGTTTTAACTCGATCACTCTCGATTTTGTATTCTTCATCTCTGTGATTTCTATTTTACATTCTATATAATAAGACGCATAAATAAATGAATGTCATTCTGTTAGCTGAAGCGATTAATAAAACAATATAAGAACAGAAAACCGGAGTTTTATTTAATTAGCACTTAGAGAGGACGAAATTGGACACCTGTAGGTCCATTCAGTAACTTATAACGATCCGACAATCGACAATTTTGTCCACACATAAAATCGTAACGAAAATGTTATTCTGTAAACATATTGTCGTCGAACTTTCAAAAACGTTGAAATATATCTTCCTTCGTAAAATAATAATATAAATACATATATTAAAATAATCGCGAAAAAGTTGCACATCTTCGCGAAATATGAGAAAAATAATAAAAATATACGAGATTACGTCAATATTTTCATTATATTAATGACATGTATCAACCTAAATAATTTAAAAATATCTACACATTCTAAACAAGTCTGTGTAGCGGTTTGTAAATTACAGAGACAACAAAACAAGATATTGAGGGAAAATATTTGTTTTTGGTTCGAAGAAATAATGTCATCATATTTATTTTTTTAATTTTATAGTACGTTTATATTTAACCGGATTTCGGTAACCCAGTGGGTTTCAATTGTCAATTCCTTTGCATATATGTCAAATAAATCCTCATCAAGTAGGCTAACCCGGTAAAAAGTTCTAATGTAAATGCCGTTTTATACAAGAAATTTCAGAAAAAAATATTGGGGTTATTCTTCTATTTTACCCGAATTTCGCCGAAAAATTGACACTTTTTGTGTATAAGTATACACCTTGCGGATTGTACCAAGACCGATAAATCTTGAGGTTCTATAAATAGGAATAAATCTTAAAATAAAACTATATTATGAAATACACAATTTAAATTGGTCTAAATCGTGTAATCCTAAAAATCATTTGATGCGCATGCGGTTTCCAGGAAGTACTGAAGTTTATCTTCCAATCCATGTATATTTTGCGAAATTTTATTTGACGGTTAAGATGTGCCACATGTTGCATTGAAGTACCCAAAAACTCGTGAACGCGAATAATTTCCGAAACCTCCATATGCCATTAACGCGCATCCGATTTCGGCGTGCACCCTAAAAAATGCATCGATCTATATATATTTTAATGCGGTCCATTAAGAACAATGGATGACCTAGCTCACTCTATTTTTGAGATAAATTGGGCACATCTCTCTTTCGGCTGAAGTTTTTAAAGTTCCCTTTCGCAAAAGTTCAAAATCCGTGTCAGGTCATTTATTGAGATGGAAATGATCCACAGAAAACCCAATTAAATCCGCGATATTTTCAAAAACACTTTTAGCCAAATTTCGTGTTTTTGGAAGGCCAGTTCCCGCCGTTCTAATT